CTAAAAAATCACACCCAAAAATGTGTCTGTCTTCATGGTTTAGGTTTACATGACTGAAGTGCTTTCTGAAATGAATCAGTGACCAGCATGCTTAAATTACATAGATGAATTCTATTCCTACTCAAGCTATGGAAACATGAATTATTAACGTGGATTTTTAAACATGCTAGAGAAGAAACTGCATGCTTGTATTGTTGTTAGTTTAAGAGTTGTCAGGATTGCAATTTGGGAAGAACTTACAAATGGAACTTTCCATGTTAATTTAACCTTGGAAGAACTGAAGTCCATGGCATTAATCTTTGGGTTATTAGAATGTTGACAGAGGGGAGGATTAAGAAAAGGGCAGGTTGTGGGACACGAATGACACAAAGACCAGAGGAAAAATAGTCTTGTAGTGACTCCAGTTCTAAAAAATAGACTCAGTAGAGAAATCAGAACTTACTGCAAGGTGATTCTGTGGTCAAATGAAATCAGTTCCCGAAAGAGATGCTTCCTCTGCACTGGGATTGGAGAAGCAAGTATTTGAACCAGTTCTACTTAAGAATCAAGTAAAATAAATGTAAGTTCAAGGCTTTACTGAAGAGGCAGTGATATGTTATCTTAGAGCACACAAAACTTGAGGATTGACAGTCTCAATGGAATCTTCATTCCTAAATGTCACATATGATCCCTCTGTGCCTATGGTAAAATGTTTGCCACCTCCCCTGCCTTGCTATGCTAGTGCTGTAACTGTGTTAGCTCTCTTGCAGGAATTTGACTTCTGAACAGCAGTGTGTTCCACCTTCTGGGTTAGGAACTGATTCTCTCCGTTCTCTCCTTGTTATGGCTGCCCTTATGGGAGCTGATGCAACAGGTGCTGGGAGCTTAGATCCGATATAGATCAGAGGCATTCTGTGGAAAAATTGAAGAGCAATCCTGATCCTTCCTTCTGTGGAATACAATGTAGTTGTGCTGCAAATGGGATTAAAATGGCTAAAGATCATCATGAGGGGTCAACTTTTATCTCATTAAAGTTCCACTTTGTTTCTGACGCCAGCTGAAAGGCTGTGAGTGTTCCCTGGTGAGCAGTAAGGCAGCACAGCAGGCTGTGAGCCAGCAGCTCTGGGGGCCTAATCCTTACTGATGTAGCATGACCTTGGGCAAGGCGTTCCTGTGCATCTCTCTTTTGTAATCTAGAGGTCGCAATTGTATTTATCTGTAGATTTGAGCATTAAATTGTTGTTAATTTTAAGGTATTTTGAAGATTAGAGGTACTATGCAACTTTAATCCCTTGTGCCTGGATACTAAGTAGGCAGATCCTGAAAATGGAGGAGTTCAGTGCTCCTCCTGGGCACCAAAGTGAGAAATGTGACAGTAAGGTGACTCCAGTTTGTCCAAAACTGGTTTTCAGGAAATAACTCCCAGTGGATTATTTGGGGATAATTCCTAGCTCCTCTGATATGGAGGAACACAAGCTGAGCCCATTGGCAAGCTGGGTGCTGTGCTGGGGAATAGGTTAAGCATGGTGCAAAGGGAAGTACATGGAACTGTACTGTAGATTGGAGGTGATGGATGTAGTCATGAGTTGGGTGTACAAAGCAGTGGTATGGAGCTGTGCTCAAATTTGTCAAGAGAATAGTTGAGCTAACAGGGCAGGCAGGGTAGATAAATGGTGGAAATGCGAATGAGATACCATAGCACCATTTGAACAAACAGAAAGATATGTAAGGGTTTGGGATTTTTTTCTAGATTGTCACCCTTGAGATGCAGGACTGAATTCTTTCTTGTTTGTTTATACGTTTGTTTTTTTCCTGCTCAAAGCTCTCCCTTGAAAGTGCAGTTCCATGAGATGCCAACCACTTTAAAATCAAAACATAAGCAACAACAAAAAAAGTAGTAGTATCAATCAGCTCTAAAACAGGGTCTGCAGCTTGGCAGCATGCTCTGTCTGGAATCTCCTTAAGACTTTAACTGGTATGGGATGTAGAGCTGATGGTCACCAGGGAGACTGTGCAGCTCTAAGTACAGTTCCTGCATAGTGGGTGCCTCGGGCACTGTGGCTGGCAGTTCCATTTATAACTACACTGCTCAATTTCAAGGTCGTTCAAGGGGGGGTTGCCCATAAAATAGACTTGATATCCATGCTTATGTTTGTTTTGGTGCTTTCTGATCAGCTTATGCCTTGAGAGGTGCCTCTTTTCTATGTTCTCTTTGGTTTTTTAGTACTTTGTGGAGCTGTTTCCCGGAGAAAGGAAAATACAGAAACACTCGTGTATCAAGAAAAAAAACACAGGTTAATTAGTGGTTCTTGATAGATTGCAAATGCTTTATGATTTATGATGGAACAGGTCAGCAGAGTATGGACTCTTACAAAACATGTGGGGCAAGCTGAGTAAGCTTGATGGCTGGGACTGGTTGGCAGCCTGGTGAAGTACAGATAATCCCTGTTAAGTATGCTTGATAGTTGTCCTTATGTATATATCTTCCATTGCTCAGGATCATGTTGCAATTGTAAGCAGGTGGCAATTAGAAGCATGCTGGCATTGCTACCAGAGCTGCTACATTTCTCTCAGGGAAAAGGGGTTTTTCTCATAGTGCTGCAGAATTTGTATCAGTGTGCAGCAGCATTTTCTTGTTGTAGTGTGTGTTACACTGCCTAGTCAATGCTACCCACTGCTTATATAACACTCCCCTGTCATGTGCTGACCAGATGACAGTCATGCAGACAGGCATAAGCCTCAGCATTGCAAGAAACAGATGAGTTATTTGGGGCACTTTGTCATAAAATCGCATTATAACAGTAGGAAAACCTTTTGGATTGAATAAAAGAGTAGAATGTAATGGAAGGCTTTCAAAGCATACCTTCCTTAGATTCCATCGAGAAACGTTTCTGGCCATGTGCAATGTATGCTGTACATCTTTAATCTGCAGTATGGCTATAGCTCATCTGAGTACTGCTTCTCTACTTGGGACTCCTGTACAAATGTCTGCTCAAGGGATGGATGCTCTCTGCTGTACTCCTGTGAATCTCCAAGTGAACCTCTGCTTCTGTGCTGAGCTGATGCTTCTCTGCTGGAAGTGACACATCACATCAGTCCGTTCATTTCCCCTCTCATCCTTCATCTTACAGCATTAGCTGCATCAATACTAAAAGCTTTGTGTGGCAAGCTCACTATGAGTACATTTTACAGATGCCACGTTGTGGCAGTTGGGAGCCCATGAGTTTGGAAACAGGATGAGCAGTGAGGCCAGGGCCTTCAGACCCCCTCCCAAATGAAGGAGTTTTCTGGCCTGGGGCAGCAGCAGCCACCATTTGAGTCACAGCAGCAAACTCCTCTTTCTGCCTGTGCTGCACTTCTTGCTGGGGAGCGCGGTGCTGCCTGGATCCTTCATCTCCTGCAGATGCAGATGGCTAAATGAAGCTGTGTGGGCTGCTGGCTCTCCAGCCAGCCTGTCCCTGCTATCTCTTCCCATAAACACTGAACCCTTTGTCTCCGGCCTTATCGTGCCCCTGCCATCACAGAGCCCTTTCTGTGCTCTCCTCCCAGCACAGCCACTGTGTTCAGGGGTCTTTTCTTCAGCTGCTCTTTGTCTCTGGGTGTTTATTGTGCCTGCTGCAGAGTGTGTTTGTTGGGAAAGAGGAGGAGGGGCTCCTGTTTGTGTGGGTTTTATAAACCCAGTGCAGTCTTAAAAGAGATGCTGAGCAAACTGGGTGGTGGTAATATTAACCCCTACTTTACTGACTGCAAAACTGTGCTAAGGTTTCCTCAGTGGGTGGAAAATATTTTGGGAGGCTTACAGAGTTGTATTGCTGTGGGAGGCAGTAGGCGTGCAGTGTTGTAGCAGGGGGTCTGCTCCCTTTTTGGTCTCAACAGACCTTTGATTTTCTGTGAATTTTGCACATGTACGTCAGCAAAGTGAGCCTTCCAAATGTGGGGAGATGGAGCTGATTGTAGTATTTATGCCCAGAGTGCTTCTGGAACTTGTTTTTACTGCAAACACTGGATTGGTAGCCTCTCCTGTTTGCTTAACTGATTTGTGCATCCTGTCTATGTTGCTGCATCAGGCAGTATCTCTTTGTTGTACCATGTTCCAAAACTTTCTGACTCTGTACTTTAAGGATTTCCTTTTGAGGAAGGTCCTGAAAACAGAAACTTGAACATACTTCTTTTCTTTAATCAGTTAGTTAATACTTTCAAGGTTAGAATGGCTGTTATTGTTTATTCAGTACCTGTGATACCATATTCATTATTCAAGTCTTCTAGAATATCAGCTGCTCAGAACTTTTCCCTTGTAATCACATAATGCTTTGTTACTAGGTTTAAAGTAATGATACTAAATAACATTTAAAAGGAAAAGCATCAATTTTCTAACCTCTTCTTGTTCTTCCATGATAATGGAGAATGGAATTTATAACATGAAAAGTCTTTTGTTCAGCTCTGAGAAACTGCTGCACTACCACTGTTGGAGACAGTTTTCTATTTGAGACTTCATATCACTGCAAGTACAGTCAGAATAAGGGTTTCCAGGTTTTCTCATGATTCTATCCTGCATAAATTGAGTGTAATGCAGATACATTAATTTAATGTGTGATAACATAGTTGTGTGACTAGAAAATAATGTATTTTATAATCAAGGATCATGTTTTTTCCTACGTTATTGAAACTTCTGCCAGAAATTAATAGATTAAACTTGTCTTTTCACAAGGTGTGTCATAAAGAATGTTTTCATTTTCAAATAATTAGCATCCTGGTATTGGGAGGGTTGCAGTTTGTGTATCACAGCATCTGCATGCTATATTATTACATTGGGAAGAACTTCAGCAGATTGTGTTCCCTTTGCAGGAGGTAGCAGGGGAGGAAATGCAAAACAGTACAAGCCTTCGTGAAACATGAATCCACACTCATCATGACTAAACCTATTCAAACATTCAGGTGTTTTTTTTCCAAGACTGCTGTAGTGTTGTCGTCGTGTGATTTGTTTTCATGAACTCAATTTGCCTCATCTTTTTGTTTTCAAGGAACAGTTTCAACTGCAAAGCGCACAGGGATTCCAGCCCCCCGAGAAATATCATCCTCTGTATCAAGGGAGAGAGCTGTACTGCGTGGCCAAGCCAATACGAGGAAAACTCAGCCCAGCCCCACCTCTTCTGGTACACCAACTCCTACCAAACATGTGCGCCCCACTAGCAAGTCCAAGCAAGAGAGTGAAACTGGTGACAAGGCTGTTTTGGAATCTCAGGTTAAAGAACTCCTGGCAGAAGCAAAGACAAAAGATTCTGAAATAACCAAACTCCGTTGTGAACTGAAGAAATGCAAAGAGAAAGGGTCACTTAATCCTGAAGGGATGGGTGCTTCAGACCAAAATGTAGAAACCTTGTCACCTGTTGACATAGATCCACTAATACGGACCCTTCAGGAAAAGAACAGGACTTTTCAAAAAGAGCTTGCTAGCCTGGGGGAAGAAAATCGTGTTTTGAAAGAGAAATTGCTTTATCTAGAGAACTCTCCTCTGTCAGACACAACAACAAGCAGTGGCGGTGACAGCAGCCTCCCTACCCCAACTACCCAAGAATCCAGCTTTGGAAGTCCATCAAAAAATGTACTGAGAGGTGAAACAGTTGAGCACAGGCAGCGAGTGAATGGGGGCACGCTGCGCAATTCCGCCTCTTCCAGCAGCGATGTAACTAAAGCTTCCTTGTCACCTGATGCGTCTGATTTTGAACATATAGCAGATATACCTTCCAGGCCAGCATCCTCCAACAGCAACCACTTCAAAGGCTCCAAATGTTCCACTACAGGAAGTTCTCCAAACAATATTAGTGACCTTTCTGTTGCATCTCTTACGGAGAAAATACAAAAAATGGAGGAGAATCACCATAGCACAGCAGAAGAATTACAAGCCACTCTGCAGGAGCTGTCTGATCAGCAACAAATGGTGCAGGAACTGACAGCAGAAAACGAGAAGCTGGTGGAAGAGAAAGCTCTCCTGGAGACTTCTTTTCGCCAACATAGAGATAGAGCAGAACAGCTGGGTCAAGAAAATGAAAAGCTAATGACTCTCCTCCAAGAGCGATCCAAGAGTGAAGAAAGCAGAGCTCAGGAGGGAAAAGTCCTTGAACTGGAACAGAAGTGTGCAGAAGTTCTTGAAAAAGCACAATTTGAAAGAGAGAAATTGCTCAACATTCAGCAACAATTAACCAGCAGCCTACGAAGCTTGGAAAGGGAGCATCAAGATGCCCAGCAAGTAATTAAAGGCCTGAGAGATGAAAATGAAAAACTGCTTAAACTTCTAGAAGTGGAACAGCAGAGCAACAGCACAGTGACAAAAACTCTGGAGGACTGCAAAATTGCGTTGGAAGGTCTAAAAATTGAGAATGGATCTCTAAAAACGCAGCTGGAGAGTGAGAAACAAAAGGCTGCAGAAATCAACGCCATGGGATGCACTACTGACAACTCTGAGGTGCAAGAGCTGCTGAAAGTAGCCCATGCAGAAAAGGATCAGCTGGAAGCATCTTGCACTGAACTTAAGCAAGAGCTGCTGAAGGCAAACAGTGAACTGAAGCATGTTCAGGGTCTCCTATCTAAGGTAAGGCAGTAGCAGCTGTACAATGTAACAGTTGTTTATCTGTCTTTTTCCATAAATAAGCAATTGTTGGTCTGTGAATTGCTATTGATCAGCTGATTTCAGTACTAATTATTTCAATTGCATTCATTACTGTTGAATGGAAGCTGGGATGATTACAGTATTTTCTATTTCTTTTGCTATGTGCGTGTTTTTCCAGGAATAACTGTTAGCAAAACTGGGCTTACAAGTTCAAAATTTATTTCATGTATAGTATCTTCTGCAGAATATGCAGAATTTTTGGTGAACAGAAATATACTTACCAAAATTGAAGCAAAAGAACAGGTTAATAAAAATGTACTTTGACATTATGTCAACAAATATTAGTGAAAGTTACTTTGTAGTCTGGGTAGAGAGAAGGACCTAAGTAATTATCAGCAAATATTAAATTTCCGATAAATGATAAAGGACCAGCTAATAAGTAGTGAATTATAGATGTCACTGAGCACAAAAACACAGGAGCATGAGTTAATACTCGAAGTTGATACTTACAGTGACAATGTACAGTCAAGCTCCAGATGAGATTATTTTGGTAAAACTTAAGGTATTGTTACAAAACTGAAAAGTACTCTGTTTGGAGATAGGTAAAGTAATGGCAAAAAATAAATATATTTTGGAACAGATTTCTCTGTCATTTGGTGGCTTGTAGTTTTGCTCCAAGCAAGCTTAAGTCAATCGTTGGTTCTATTTTCTGTCTGATCCTGGGTGTTCCAAAGAGAGTTGCAATGCAGGGTGTCACAGAACAAGCATTAATATAGTGCCAGCCAGTGATTAATGTCCCATCACTGCAGAACGAGTGATAAGCAATGTGTGCAGCCTTTCCTGTATGGGGAAGGGGTCATGGGAAGAACTGTAGAGTTGGCTAGCTGCAGAGGAAGAGAGCATTGCCAAAAAGCACCTCAATGGTTTGTGTGTTTTAGAAAATCCAGGTGTCCTTTCAGCTTAAATAGGTGACCACAGCAAACAGGGTTGCAGAGGAAGTTCCCTAGTGTTTCTGAGTGCTTGCTAGTGCTGGAGTGTGTGAAGAATAAATGAGAAACTGCTGAGTTCTCAGACTCTGCTCTGAACTTTTATTGCTTGGTTTTGAAACCACAGATTTCCTCCTTTTTACTCTTCCCTTGAATTAAGCTGTTTTGAATCAATGGTTATTTGTCACACCCAAGCAAGACCACAGGCTTCTGTAAGGCTGCCCTTCAGTCAGCCTGTGCCAATGCTGCTTGCTGAGTTGGCAGCCTACATCTTGCTTTTGCATAGGTTGTTCATACTCAGAGGTCTCCCCCAACCCTGGAAGCATTGATCTGTGGGCCTGAGCCAACAAACTGAAGTACAGCATATTCCCCCTTCAGTAATTCCAGCTGTCCTATATCCAGAAAATATACTTATCTGTAGTAGCTAGCCTTCCCACATGTGTTTCACAATCCATCAGAAATGTGTGTGGTAAAAGCAGCAGAATTGTTAATATGGACAAACTGATTACTCTCATCCCTAAGGCTGCTCTATCATTCTCATAATATAATACATGATTAGATTTGGAGCTTTCCAGAAATACCATTCTTCCGTTCATTACCTGCAGAGAGTGGTTTGGAATAACAGTTACCCAATAGAAAACTTCATTTCCTTCCTAGTATCTTCTTTTGTTATCTTTATGTCTGGGGAGGAACACTGACATTCATAGCTTGTGTATGTTTCTTGAAACTGTCTCGTTAGTGTTGAAACTCAGTTTCCACAAAGCAGGTTCAATTCTTAAGTTCATGACATCGTAAAATATCTAACAAGTTATATCCTTAAGAAATAAGGACAGTCAAGCAGTTTTCTTTCCTTATTTCTAGGCTGAGAATGAGTGTGGTCAGCTGAAGGAGGTGTGTGAGCGGCAGGCTGAGCAACTGAGCAGAACCAGCCAGAAGCTGCAGGAAAAAACATCAGAGAATGAAGCAGATATAAAGAACCTAAAGGAGACAATTTTCGAGTTGGAGGACCAGGTGGAACAACATCGTGCTATCAAACTTCACAACAACCAGATCATCAGTGACTTAGAAAGTAGGTGGAGCTGAAAAAAGGGTTTAAGTGAACTTATTCTGGAGGCTCAGATGTGGCCAGAACCAGGAGGAGGAGGCAGCATGTCCTGATGTGTGACAAGAGCCTCACTTCAGAATTATTTGTATTTCAACCAATCCTTTCTGTTTGTGTGCAAGTCACTGTTTTAACAGTTAGCGCTATGGAAATAATATTACAGACATTTTCCAAACTTACTGTTTAGCGACAGATGTATCACCCGTTCCAGAACCTGCAGTTACTGGCCTTTTGAGGAGCCTTCGGATAAAACTGCTGGTAGGAACTGGGAAGTCGAGTTTGCTGCTGTTGTGTGGGAGAGGAGCTGCCACCTGGTGGAATGAGTTGCTCATTTCACTTACCAGTATTAAACTATTTCCTGACTGTGCATACTGACAAGTGATCCTGCACTTGCAGTTCTGTTAATTTAAAAGCCTGCTTTAGTATCACAAAATAATGAACTGCTTTGGAGATATTTGAATAAAAAATCTGTTGTTGATTCTATTCCTGATCCACTCACAGAGTATCTTAATTTCCATTTAATCTCTGTTAGTGACGCAAAATCAGAGGCAAAATCAAATAGGCTTTTTTTTAAACTGTTTCTAGGTAAAACTATGAAGCTGGAAGAGCAAAAACAAGATATAGAGAAGCAGCTGAAGACTCTGACTAAGCAAATGAAGGTAAGGCTCAGATGCCACGAAAAGCTAGGCTGAACTTTTATTGTAATACTGGATTTCATTTAGGCATTGCAATTTTTAGAGCAATTATAGAAAGTTCTTCCTCCTCTCATTCTCTGTTCCTTGTTTATAGCTGATTCTTTGCCAGTGAGGTAAACTATAATCTTTGCAAATTACTTCTAATTTTTCTACCAGTGAACTTCTAACTTCTACTACTTGTCCAAAGTAGTTTGGAGCATGTTCCTGCTTCCTGAACCATCAGCAGCAGTGAGCTCTTTTCAGCAACAATCCTTGTAGTAGTATCACAATTCTGAATGATCAACAGCTATAGGAAGGACTTTGATTCTACTTTTTGAATTGGAATGTGGAGCTTAGGGTCAGTTGTCAACTTCTTTGGCAATCTAGTCAAAACTGTAAAGACACTAGTATTAAGTTTGACCTCAACATCTTGAAATTGTGCTGAAATCCTGTTCTCTTTTGATCACTGAAAGAGAGGTCAATAATTAAGTGCTTAAGTGGCATTTTTACAGCAGTTTGTGGTTGTAATTATTCTTTCTAGGAGGATACAGAAGAATGGAAGCGTTTTCAAGCTGATCTACAGACTGCAGTGGTTGTAGCCAATGATATCAAGTGTGAAGCCCAGCAGGAGCTCCGTGTGGTAAAGAGAAAGCTTCAGGAGGAAGAGGAGAAAAGTGCCAGGCTGCAGAAGGAGCTTGATGAAGTGAAGGGCAACAACAGGTCGGTTACTTACAAAGGCCAAGATCTGATCTCTGTGACTGCTAACATGCATGCAAACAGTGCTTTGTCAATAACTATTCATTGGCTTGGATGTGTATGTTGTCTGTTTTTAACTCTTCTGATAGATTTTGTTGTCTTTTATTCTAAGATGTTCTGTTCTTTTCTCTTTTTTGATAATCTAGTTCTGTCACCTAGGCCTTGAAGGTTGTAATAAGCAAATATGAAGTAATAACAATTGCCAATATCCTTTCTTAACTTTATTCTCTCTACTGTATTCCACTGTTTTATTGCCTTCGTAACTCTGCACATCTGCATTAAACCATCTGTGAAAAGCTTGTCTGGCTACATATGGGACATCCAGAAGAGAACTTCTGAAGTGAGGATTAGCTGAACTCTTTGTTCTGCAAGTCTGATACATGCTGATTAAATGAATAATGCAAGTACTAGGATTCTTCACCTCCTGTCCTTAAGTCAAAATCTGTTGTGTGGTTAAATGAGCTGGACTGTGGCCTGGTTTAACATCCTAGAAGTGATTTTTGTTGTGCAGCAGACCCTCTTGAAAATCAGTGTCTGTAGTCTGTGGTTGGGCAGGGAGCAGTAAATATGAGCTATTTAGAGAAATACCCAGCATGGTGAGGTTCCATGGAAGCATGGTAAGATCAAGTGACTTTACAATTGAAATTGGAATCAGCATAACTGCCTTACAGTGTGGCTTTTATGCCATGCAGGATGCTTTATTTATGACATTTTATTCCAGAAGTCATACTACAATTGAAGTACTAAATAATATAGGATGGAAAACAAAATGTATGTTATGAGGGGCAACTAAAATTTATAAAGGAGGCAATGCTGTACTTCTTTTTTATTGCATCGGCACAAGCAGAATTAGAGCTACAGGAATGAAAATTTGTACAAGGGAAATGATGAAAAACAACACACACAGTGATGCTGCTTACCATCAATATGCTAAATGAGCTCTGCTCCTCTACATTTTTCCAGTTAATCTCTCTGCTGCCAGGTTCAAGACCATTATTAGAATAGCCACAGGAACACAGAAAACACTCTCCTTTCTTTCAGGTAGAATAACAGTCCAGATTAACACTGGTTGCATTTATTCACTATTTTCCATTCAGGAGCTTCCACAGCAGCTGTACAGTAGATAGGTGTACAAAGATGGGAAGACTTTTGTGAGGTATATGGTTCAGAATTGATGGATAGAACAGAAATCCATTTTTGTCAGGAGAAGAAAATGTGTTTAACTTCCAATTTTGTTATTGGTGTGTCCAATAAAGAAAAACTATTAGGTGCAGTGCATTAAGACAGAGTGATTACCAGACAGTACTTAAATTCTAAGCTCTGTTTTTATTCTTAATTTATTCTTAATCAAATTTCTCATGTGGAATAGGGCAATGTTCATCTGTACATAAAATATCAATTTTCAGACATTAATCCATATGAAGATGTATTTAGTATTCAAACTGAATAGAAGATGACCTGCTAATTTGCAAACTGGGCTTTTTATCTTACATGTATAGGGAACTTGCCTGCATTGTTGGTTCTTTGGCATAAGAAGCCTGAGCTGAAAATACTGATTTTGAAATTAGACCATGGAAATGTATACATACGTAGCTTCAGAAGAAGGCATTCAGACTTGTATTTGAGTCAGTTTTGGCATTTGTCTCGCTTTTTCTCATACGTACAGAAAGATATGTCTGTCTTTTGCATTGCCTTGGTTGTCTGTATAGCTTGCTTTGAGTATTACTTTGGTCTTGGAGCCAGACATGCTGTCTGCGGTGGATAATGTATTTTCTCTTTCACAGGCAGGTGTTGAGATTTTGCATCTGTTAATTTAGGTTTAACAAACTTGACTGTGGATATCAGTGTCCATGCAGAGAGTACTCAGGCAAAGTTTCAGTACTGAGTGGTATAGAGAAATTAATGAAGTCTATATAAGTCATTACTCAACTCATTGATCAGCAGAAAAGCAGTGAAATTATAAAACTGACCTATAAAACAAAGCCTTGACGTTGCCAAGAGCAAGTCCTACACTTCCCTACACGGTTGTTTTTGGATTCCTGAGGTTGCTGTGTTACCTAGCACCTCAACTTCTTTTATGTGGAAAGATCTGGGACATTCTCCTCATTTCTGTTAGTGATCATTTCACAAATGCTATTACTCAGAATCAGCAGTAGATTCTGGTGCCCGTGGTGATTTTAAATGCATGCTCAGCACTGGTGAAAACAGTTTGTAGCACAACACCTTAACACATTATGTAAAGTGTCCCTCCTATTTGTTAATTCTGAGCAGCTGTGCACTCAGCTGAATGTCTGAGAAAGTTTCCTGTCTGATTTTTGAACTCCAATTGTAAATGTACCTAGTTGTTGCTGCTCAAAGGTTTTTTGGCAAAACCTCATCCATCTCTTGAGGGTCAGTAGACTCCACTCATAAATTGATCTTGAAGCCAGTTTTCTCCTACAACATCCTGCCATTTTAATGTTTGTCTGTGGCTGCCTGAATTCCTGCCTCCAACACTGATTTCACCATTACATTCTTCTAATCAGACAAAAAGTCACTTTTGGTTCAGGAACAGCCAAAGAACTTGCAGAAAAAATCCTGATGAGGTCATCAGAGTTCATCTGAACGAAGGTAAGAGCCTCCCAAAGGCGACTTTAACACAGATTAAATGTCTAATTCTATGACTAAGAATGCTGGGGGGAGGTTGGTCCACCATCGAACAAGTGGAACAAAGAAGAGAGATGTTCACTTGTCCCAAATTACTGATTAAAACCTACAAATTGATTATCACATTTCAAACAGACTTATGATACTTTACATTGTAATTAATGCTATTTCTCTGCAGTTATATGCAGAAGTTTACCATCCACTGTTGTGTAACTTTTCTCAGACATGGTAGACATTGAGATAACAGTCTCCATCCTTGGAGGTTTTCAAGACCAGACTGGATAAGGCCCTGGGTAACCTGGTCTGACCTCATAGCTGATTCTGCTTTGAACAGGCAGTTGGAAAAGGTCCCTTTCAGCCTAAATTATTCTGTCATCCTGTAGCAAGTCTCATCTTTTCAAAAAACTCACCTTCGAAATAAACTTACATTTTGTAGCTATTTTAGGATCAAATATTTAACTGGAGATAAAGTACTATATTGGGTTTGTAACACAACAAACACATTGGCTGCTGAGTGCATCCAAATTTTGAGTGGCCCTTTATGGCTTCGTGCATATGCATTTTGGAGCCTTTCTAGCAATACAGTGTTTAGCAACAGAGAAAGTTTATAGGTGTGCCTTTGACTCTTTCCCTCCCTTTTCTTCACAAAATTATGTTGGAACTATAATATTAAGTACCTTAAATCAAGAGCATGGTGGGAAAATAGTTGGGCTGGGAGCAGTGTTCAGAAGACAGAGAAATTATAGCTGGAATTAAATGAGCCACTTCCTATAATAATAATAATAATAATAAAATCTAACCAAGTCCTCAAAAGAAGGCCTGAAATGAAGCTTGTGATGTATCCCACTAATTTGCTTCTGTTCTTCCTCCTAAAGTCTCAAATGCTGCAGCATGGCAGTGTTACATGCTTTTTCTCCTGGAAATAAGCTTGTACTCTATGTGTATTAAACCCTTATGTCAGTCTTTATGTGCTGATGTGCTGCTCATTTGTGCCTGTGTTTTGCAGCTGTTCTGTCTTTTAGAGGTTTGATAGTTCATTCTGCTCTCACTTTAAGAAAGCACAGTAGGATTTTAGAGCAGGGTTCTTGAAGTATTGTTTGCTCTAATCAACTGATTAGTTGATTAGCTCTTTAGAGTTTTTGGTACCAACTGAGATTGCCTTGGGCCCTTCAGTGGAAGGACCCTGACTAAACTTGGATTGAGGGTAGTGCATTTCTAATTACTTGAGCAGGTTCACATACCCATTTTGAATGAATAGCCCTAACTGAATATAGGCAAAGAAAGCCAGGTATGCAACCACCCTTGTCCTTTGAAACTTGTTCCTTGGCTCTAAGTACTTTATTCTTTCCTATCTGAGCAATGCAGATTTACATTATTGATGGTTGCTCATTGTGTCCCAAAGCAGAGTTAGTGGAGTGTTAAGGCACTCCTGTAAGACCGGTCTTGCACCCGTATATCATTCTTTCCCCTTTATTTAGTGATGATGGGATGATTAACTGTATAATACAGAGAGCTGTACCTCGGAATGGGCATTGTACTACTTCTTTTAACTTCTCCCATTGTTGTCTGTATCTCCTAGGTGCCTGATCTCTACCAGCTAACACAGCCCTGGATGGATGCATAGCCAGGCCTGTGAGACACTTCAGGACATGCCTTCAACTTGCAGCTGAAAAAGGGAAGTTTCAATTGGAGAAAAGCACCCCCAGTTTTTTATTGCCTGCAAAAGTCGAGTGTATCACCAAGTGTGAATGTGCTCAGGTCCACCTTCTCCCCATGGGCAAGAGCTGATTTCTTTGTTTCAAAATGCTTCTCTCTTCAGAAGACTCCATGCGGCAGGAAAAAGTTCTGAATTAATTTAAAACCTACTAGAAGTAATCACAGAGATTTGGGAGACTGAAATAACTGATGCCCCGTTTGGAGTGATGGGGCTATTTGCATTTGAACAGAAGTTCAAATGCTCTATTTTAAGCTTAAACAAAAATAAAACTGTGTGTATGTCTAATTTGTAAAATTTAATAAGCATACACATTTGTTCTTCATATAATATTCTATTCATAAATCTTTGTGTCTAAATACACGTGCATACAGATCTGTATGTAAAAATGCACACAAACTCTAGTGATTCCCACCTTTGCACCTGGGGTGAGTTGCTCATGGAAATTAATTACTGAAATCCAACAGGAAAATTAAATAGAAATATTATGCTTTTTAATTGGTATCAGCTGTTTTGTTGGTTTCAGTTTTTTAATATTGTGTTGCACTCACCACTTGGTGGCATGTCTGACTCAGTGTGTGCAAGGAAGCAGGATGATGCTCAAGGAGCACGATGTCCTTATCCGATTTTCACAGGCTGTGTCCCACAGGGGAGAGATTTGTCCTTGCTATGAGAATTGCAGGTGAAGAGATCCAAAAGGAAAGGCAACGGATATGTCAAGCTCTAATCATCATCCTCTCAGAAGGAGTTTTTCTCATGCCCTTTACTCAGGTGAAGTGTATAATCAGGGAGAACTTGTTTTGCTACTGGAGACACCTGAAGAGAGCTTTACTTGGATGCTGATGAGAAACTGAAAAGTCACAGTCTCTACCAGGATATCATCAGGATTTGTTACAGGACTGGGATTACATATTTTGGCTATGGGATTCCTTCCTTTTCTCCTGGATGTGAAGACCTAGCAGGGGCCTGATCTCAGAGGAGGCTGAGCTAGAGAATTCTGCAGGATTCTGGGACAGCCTTCACCTATGTGCCATTCTACTGGAGTGTATGCATATATGCACACTTGTGTTGCCTTTCTTTACTGTGCTGGCAGCTGTTAAATGTTGGTTTTTATGTTTAAGAAATTATATATATTGAAGTGCCAAATAAATGTTTGTGTTTGGAATTGTCTGCTGCCTACTCTTTGCTTCTCTTCTGTTCTGTGCATCAGCAGCTGTGTGTCGTCTTTGTGTCACTTGGAGTTCAGGAGGATTCACAACAATGTAATGTAATGAAGACTAGATTACAGAGTAATTATTTCTGAAAACATGGTTCTGCTGTCCTGGGCCACTTGTAATGAAGAGATAATCAGAGCAGTTCAGAAGCCTTCAAAAGCTTGATGGCTGCTCTTGCAAAAAATCTATATATTAAGCACAGAAAGACTTGTACCTTGCTGGCTATTGTCCACATATTCCAAACCCAGAAAACAAGCAGAGTAACTCGTCTTTAGAGAAAAGCTCATGACATCTGTTTCTCTCTTCAGTGAATGAAACTAAGCAGTGGTTTTGTGAAAAGAACTCTGCATATTTCAATTTCTTGTGGCTAAAGTGCTCTGCTTCATGCTGTATGTGCTTCACTTAAGCCAGCTGCACTTGCAGCTTTTAGCTGTGCAAACCATTTATTCTTGTTTCAAGGTAAGCATATAGCAGATGCTGACATTTTGCTTAACTCCATCCTCTTAGTAGCAGGACTTAGTCTTCTTGGCTAGACTAGTCTGTGCAGTGTGAGCTTTTCTCAGACTTAAATCCTGCTCAATGATTCCAGTCTGGCTGAGACTTGTCATTAATACTGGCAGCCATCAGTCCTTTCCAGTGTTTTGTGCTCCCATGTAGTATGGTTTCTTTCTGACTAAATAAAATCTAGGTCCAGCTTCCACTTTTCTGCTGAAATGGTGGCTGTCCACAAACCTTGTACTTTGTTGTTCTTACCTGGTAAACCAGACAGAACTCTTACATAGTGCCCTTTTTAATTCTTGAAAACAAAATGGATTGCACTGGTTGACTTAGTCTCCTGAGGCAGAAATCTATTCTCTTTGTGTTTTCTTACAATGAAGTGCAGATGCTATCACCTGATGATTTGTTATTTATATCTTAAAAAGCCGTGAAAGAAAAAGTGAAGGATTGAGGTTAAAATTAGCCAGTAAAACACTGGCTCCCTCAGAGCTCTGTGGATCTTATCCAGTTTGCTTTTCCTCCTTATTGGATTAAATGGAGAATGGAACTGAAATGGCTTTTTCTCTAGCCATCTGCCTCTGCGGTCCCTTCTGGCACACAAGGAGCTTGAATGAATTAGCAAAGAAATGCCTACTTAAAGACAGCACCTCCTTAAGCTCTGCCAAAAATAGAAGCATTAGTCACTCTTATTCTCTTATTCATTGACACCCTTTAGCCCTTCGCATTTTGTAGGCTGTGATGCCAAAAGGGAAATAAGAAGACTCCAAGTTCTATTTTTAACTAACAGAAGTTGTTCAGTCTCATGGGTACTTGCCTGTTGGAGTCTTCCAGGCGCCCTGTGAAATCTTTTCTGTTTTTCTGTTCATGTAGCCCTTGGTGCCCACCTTACTGCACAGTAGGGGAATGATGATGCCTCAGCTTCTGTAGATCAGTGTGCATTTCTTAAGCTGCTAGGAGATAGGGAAAACCACGTAATAAAGACTCTCTTTTTTATGTCACTAGGCTTTGTTGTCTAATTACAGCTTTCCTAAACTAATGCTAGGTAATTACACTCGAAGTCTGCCTGGGCACTGCTAGGTAAGTACAATGTCAGTGCTAAGCCATTTCATCCAGATCCATAAAATGCATGACTAGAACCATCAGTTATACTTACAATTATGTTTGCAGTTTTTATGCAATGTGGACTTTTCTGTATTAATTTCTTTCAAGTTCGCCACTCCTGACTTTAAAATTTCCTATCAATGGAATAACTGAATGATCTTTACTGTTAAAACAGGGGCCTTACTTCTATTTTGAGTATGTCTATCTTCATTACCGCTGAATTTTGGTATTCCTCTGTCTGTTAGGATGAAGCACTTTTAAGTTTTTTTCCCTATATATTTGCTTAGAGGTGGCGATTGAGGGTTTACTGGTTTAGCAGATGTTTTTGTTGATAAATTGTAAGAGTTGAATTTCAGTGTTTTTTCATTATAAAGCATGTTTCTGGTTTAACTTTTGTGGTTCTTTTCTGAACCCTGTCCTGCTAATTATTTTTTTCCAGTTATGAGATTTTAACTGATAATAATGATGCCAGCAGACATTGCATCAATTGAAAACATAGAACATAACATCTTTCTGCTTAGATATTTTCCTTCTTATATACCAAGTACCACATTAGCCCATTGGCCCCAGTGCTGTATTGAATGCCAGTCTTCAGGTGATGCTCTGTGGTGACCTGAATTTCATAAAACTCTTTTTCCATGATAACTCTCTGTCTTGTGAGAAGATGAGAAATGGGATGATACAGCTAAACAACAGAAAGAATTGTTAATACAAAGTGATTTCATGTTTGTTAGGCTCTATACGATGACAGATGCTGTCCAACACTCCAAAACTCTCCACTCCACTCTCCAAACACTTCAAAAAATGAGCGTGAGCATTATAACAGTGGGTTTATATTTGGGTATTACAATATAAGATGTGCATCGTTAGATTTGCCCTACATATGAAGACCTGCACTTTCTGTCTGTGTTTCCTGTTGCCACTGACTTTGTTCTGGTTTCTGCTTTGCAGGCTGACAGCTGAAGAGGTAGAATCTATAGAGGCAGATACAGCCAACCGTTGGCAAGGAGTTTGCATTAGCAGGGCATCTCCCACACCATCAGAATCTGCAGCCACTGTGAAGTCGCTGATAAAATCATTTGACTTAGGATGTTCAGGTATGCTGTATACTTAGTATTTTTTTTTTCTTTTTGAGTGATAAATATGTATTTCTTGTCATTTCGTGTTGCTGCTTATGGAATTTTTCTGTCAGTGCTTGGTTCAGAAGTACTATCTGTGGAATGTCTCTGTGTCATTGGTTCCCTGTTCTGCTGAGAGGAAGATGGCTGGTTTTGAAACAATTGTTTCCATGCTTTTTCTTTAAAGGTAGCACTGGACAAAACATCACAGTTCAAAAGGTCCCTAGAAGTCCTCTAAGTGGAATTCCAGTGAGGACAGCCCCTGCAGCTGCTGTTTCCCCCATGCAGGTACGAGGTACTCTTTCAATCACTGGAGTATTTGAATGGATAGATGCCATGTTTGAATGACACAGCTTCAGTGTGCCAACATATGTAAGCTGACAAGGGGAAAGGGAAACTCATCTGTTTATTTGCTGTGAAACATCAAATGCTTTAGTACTAACAAATAGGATCAAAGTTTGCCTTTGACTTCAGTTTAGAGGTCTCAGTGGACGGATGTGAACTCCTTGGAATACAATTCTGAACTTTAATCACAATTATCTAGAAATTAAGTTTTAGTTATTGGTAGAGAGAATGAGCATCAGCATGAGCATGATGGCTAGTATTTTTTAATTTTCTTATACATTTTTTTGTTTCACAGAGACATTCTGTTTATAATAACACAAAGCCAGCCAGCAAAGGTGTTGTCAAGCACACAGATCTTTCAGACCTTCCACTTGCAGGTAAATTGCAGTAAAGGTACAAATATTGTATACAAATATTCTTTGCCAGCATTGTCATTAACTGTTAGTCCTTCTGGGCCACTTTTCCTCTTCACGTATGGTCAAAGAAAACATGAAAATATGTCTTTAGACTCTGTTTTAAGGAGCTTATTGATTTTGTCATGTTCCCATTCCCATCTTGATTGTAGCCTTAGGAAAAGAAAAAAAAAAAAACAACTGATGCACTGGGGTTTGCCAACACAAACTTGCCGTCTTTATTCCGACGTATCCGTGGCACCTCTCTAATCCATGCTGTGGAACTGGAGAGGGTTGAATTTTGTTCAGTATATGTGTGTTTGGAACAAGTCCAGAACACTGTCTTTTGGGGGCCTGATTATTTTTGAATTGAGCTTCATTTGAAATACATCAAACATTTCAGATACAGATGGGACTGTTTTAGGAGCAGTCATTTTGGGGCTTGAAAGAGTTTGTTTTGAGAATTCTCAAGAGATGCATTTGTTTTCATTTCGCACTTCTGTTCTCTTGTCATTTAACATTCTTTTCTACTAGTGTTTGTTTCCACTTTTCTCTGGGGCCCTTTATTTTGCTTATCTAGTCTTGAATTTAATTATTGCACTGGAATCGAAGTTGGTATCAATAGACGACCGAATCTGTAAGGACAGATGAAAAATTATATTTGTGTAGTCAAACTGAAACTATAGGGAGAGAAAAAAGGATCAGTCAACTTCTTCAGTGGTAGACTGAATTTTCTGCAGTAAGTTTGCTAACACAGGGAGAAATTGGAACCCGCTTTCATTTTTAAACTCTTCAGATAATTTGGTAAAATGCCCTTTCCTCCATTCAAAAATGAAGAGATACTGGATCTGAACAGCAAAACAGCTTATAAGGATGGCAACATAAATAACATCTTGTCTGTGCTACCAGCTTCTGTATGAGTAAATGATAATCAAGCAGAGGTTATTAGTGGAACAGATAGTTTACTTGTATTTATCAATTGATTTCCAGAAAATCCCTTGCATGAAAATATGCTCTGATCCTACACAGAACATAAAACTCTTAAAATCTCTATTGATTTACTCCACAGTGAAGCAATCTGTCAACTGTGATGTATTTCGAGTCCTTAATAATACATATCCTAGTTCAGGATGTGGATAATTGCTGTTATTACCTATAAACAATTGTTCTATGGAAATCTGTTGAAATCAACATTTCATATTTTATTAACTATTGTGTGTTAAAATTTATGGTCGCTTACCTAATGAGTTCCTATGTCTATCATTTCTCTTTGTACCTGGATTTGATTTAGCCCCAGTAATTCATTGCAAATGCTTTCTCACTATGAAGTTGTAATAGCTCTGGTTCCAATCTAAATAACCCTAGAAGGCTGTTGATCCAAGTCCTATGCAAACAAGACTGAATTAAAAAATATCCCCAAGGAAATTTAGAGTTGAAGTAGTCTCCATGATAATAATCTTCTGGCTGATTCTATCTGACTAATATTACAGCAGTGTCCTGT